TCTTCATGTTCCTTCTCAAGTGGAGTAATGATCGGAGAATGACTTCGGCGGTAAGGTTGGAGTCATGTGGAAATTGGCCCATATCCACGTAGGCGAATTCTCGGATGCCTTCTTCAGTGTACGCCATGATCCCTATCCAGAAAGCAATGACAGTGGACTTTAAAAAAATAATAACAATAATGGAGACAGAGCTTCAGCATTCTTGGCTCTTGAAAAAATGAAAATTTCAAGAGAGTCAATGTGTAGCGTAAAAGAGCTGCACATGCTATAATTGCTGTGGTGGATACTGCAACATTGAAAAATGAATAGTAGCAGAAACCTGAGTGTCTTAGATGCATGGACGCATTAATTGATACACCAGAAATGGGTATGTACCTGTGATATGGGTGTTGATAATTGGGAGGTTGATTGTGTTCTTATCTTCCCTTGCAAAACGGGGAACACTGGTTTTCTTTTGATCCATACCATCCACAACAATTGTCATCCAGTCCTCACCTTCAAGAGCCATGAGTCTGTGCCTTTGATAGGTAAGGCGCTGAATTCTGTGAAGAAAGGCAAAAACAAGTTGATTGATCCTGAAGCCTTTCTTATGTTGTCGGCATTAAAGATCTGATAAATTAGTCGAGCTAGAACAGCAGCATAGCATCGAGGGGTCAAGGGGACACAGCCTCCCTCCCCCTCCCTCCTCCTCACTTTCAAGAAAATAAGCAAAAAAAGGGAAGGACCAATTAAATGCATGATAACAGTATCCCAGAGTTCCTGTGCCCCCCCCCACTTTTTTATGCACACTACGCCTATGAGCTAGAGCACAAGGTGGCAAGAAACAGATAAGAAAATATCATGCTCCATGCTGATAGATGATAGACTCCTTGAAGTCACTCATGAGTGGCTGTGATGACAATCTCCTTTTATGCAGTCATGTGCAAGTTTTATTTATTGATATACTTACTTGGCAATTCTCAAATGTTCTTGGTGGAGACGATGTGCTTTCTTTCTTCCCTCTCTCGACATTTTCCTGTCCTTCAAGCTAGTACACGTACTGCAACTTGGAAAAGCATTGGGCTGCAGCGGAAAAAGAAGTAAAATATGTTAGCACACCCAACAAGGCATAAGGAACAACTAAGTTCACAGGAATGCGAGAAAAAATCATAAATCATCATCATCCCACCTTTCCGAAAGAGACTTTCATTTTCTTCAGAAGCACTGTGAACGACGTGTAATGCAGGAGGTTTTCCTTAGGGATGCCTTTGGAGAGACTGCATATCATCAGCTGATGGAGCTCCTTCGCGTTGTATCCTTGAACGTAGATCATCTTTGTAGAGCAGGGTGAATGCTGTCCGTGCCATCGCAGAAAGTTAGTCATCCAGGCCTCTGCAACTTCCACTTTGGGGGCAGTCCTGATGCGTTTGGGAACTGCAGACTTCTCCGAAGCTTATTCCATTGTTCCTTCGGGAGAGAAAATAAATTCATGAAGCAATCTATGCAAAGACTAGCTCCTTTGAAAGACACAGTCTGTCGATGGCAATATGAATTTTCTTGAATCAAACGAGCCAAGAATGTCTCCTTTTCCTTGGCCGACATCTCCTCCATTTCGCATTCTGTGTCTATTAGGTCTCTTGTAGCCATCATCCCAATGCAGCATTCGAAGCGGTAATCACTCCTCATCCTTCGACTCTTCCTTGGCGTCGATTGGTCTATAGGCCCAGTCATCGAACCTGAAGGGGAATGTTATCGAATTTCATATTCTGTCTGATTTCTCAAAGATATTATATCTTTCCATATAACAAATAGATTGCCTACCCATAAAAAAATCTGAGTGGTGGAGACAAGGTTACGAATCCCTAGCCCCAAAACAGTCTGATGCTTCTTTGCACCTATCTCACAGATTCCCTATGACCTTGTCACAATCCCCATCTCGCTAAGACATGAATCCGATCAGGAAGGACAGGTAGATAGATAGGGATTCCTGACAATTTTCTCTTCCTCAGCTCATACCCCACCGCTCAGGTTTCTTCTTTTGGTCTTGAATGGGATGCTCATGTTTCGTTTAAAAAAAAATAGGGCCTAAACCAATGGATTCGGGATGTCCCATGCTACAACCGCTCCAGCAGCTTCATTTATCGATTTTATAATTTCATGATGCTTCGACCCTTGCAGTATTCAAGGCAATACGGTATTGATTATCAATTTGAGAATGCACGTGATAGTGGCCTTGTGTTTCATCGGTCTAAAGAGTAGCAAATTTCCTTTTCCATAGAATTTACTTAAGCAGAATGCTGAATACAGGCCGCGAAATTACAGTAACAAGTTTCACTCACCCACCTACAAATCACCAGCCACAGTGGGGCTAGAGCAAGGATATGCAATCCACGACCCGTGGAGCTGCTTATTATTGCCCAGTAATGGGCAATGGAATAACAAATAAAATAAGTTCCTTAGTGGCCCAAGGCCTATCACAACTTTGATCATCATTCAGTAACTATAAATAAATAGTTTGTCCTTTCACCTCTTTCCCATAATTATTGCTCACACTGACACTGGTGGAAATGGCCCGAAGAAGGAAGTTCTGAATGAAAATGGCGTTGGAATTTCCTGAGAGCGGGGGAAAGGTGAGGGTCGTCTGTCAATAACCCAATTCAGGCACGACCCAGGAAATTCCCGTGAATTAATGGTGTCTGAACGGCACAGCCAGCCGCTGGGACCTGGCAAAAACTGGACCAGCGAATAGGTGGGTTTTTTTCCCAGGAGGCTGGAAAACTAGTCATGGCTGAACACCCCATGCATTCCCAGGTTCTCTCTTATTTTCGGCTTTTCGGAGTGAGAAAGTACATCTTTTATGATGGCGGGCATATGAAATGATGACATTCAACACTTACTTTAAATTTGGAATGAAGAGCAAATTCGCAATATGTTTGATGGGGCAATGCGTAACGTCAAAATGATATGTGAAATGATAAGTGTACCAAATGATATCTGCTCGACTACAAATCAGTGCAACCTTATGCCTTAATATGCCATAAGGGCACAAGAGGGGAGTCTTTTCATTCGCATTCTATGACTCGCGTGAAGAGACAGACATTTTCATGTGGCCCATTGCCAATAAAGGTTCCACAGCCCTAAGCTGAAGAATAGGTATTCAACACTAAGTATCCTTCCAATACAGCACGCATTATTTTCCCCAAACCTGGCGGCATTACGAGGATTCTCGTATAGAATCTCAGAAATAAATAAGCAGGTTTCTTTTTTTTAGGGTGACTGATTACAGTGGTGATGATGTCATATTGACTCTCTGTGAAAGGAGGAGTCGAAGCCATCACTAAGGGTATGCAATGCTCGTGATTCCTCCAAGTCCATGAATCCCATCTCGGGGGAAGGAATGGGACTACTGACAGTCAACGTCTCCCCTGTCAATTCTGCTGCAAGATCGGATAATTTCTCGATGCCTGATAGATCTGCATCCACATCTGGGGGAAGAAATGCACACATTAGACAGGGCATCGTTAAACCCTAAGGTTCATGCACGACGAACAATATTCTCAAAAGTCACTCAATAGCTACATTTCAGCTGCTCACTATCTCGAGAGGCCTTGGGCATGGACAGACTGGACGATGGACTTCCGGCAATCTCGACATCTGATGCCGAACAACTCAGGGAATCGTCAAGTGTTCTCCTGACTTCCAGACCTGAAAAGTTCGAAATTTAGACATGCAGATCCCACACTTATAATATTGAAAGACTGCACCAAAATATTCACCCATTGCTTGAAAAGTCATGGACAGACGGGATTGGGCTTCCAGCGACCTCGACATCTGATACGGAACAACTCAGGGAATCGTCTCGTCCAGTCCTGAACCGCTTCTCTGGAACGTTCAAAATCTCTCCATACACATCCAAGCCCGAAAAACAACATTCAAAGACTATATTCAAAGAGCCACCTTTGGTTCTAGAAGATTTTGGCGTGGACGTACTGGGCACTGGGCTTCCGGCAATCTCGATGTCCGATAGGGAGCGATTAAGGGAATCATTCCGCCCACTCCTGACGTCATCTATAAAATCGGTATTAGATCCCTCGTAAAAATAAATTTCATAACGTGACTTATTTCTGCGTTTTATGAGATTTCATGAGGATTGTTATTGGGATTACAAGTACTTAATACCGTAAAAATTTATTGACTCGAACTGTAAGGGACCGAGCAAATCGTTTCGAGTTATTCGAAGTTCAAAAACAAAACAAAAAACAACTCAGATAAAGAGACATAACCAGAGGGTAATTTCTCCGTTCTCATGAATCTGATTTCAAGTGATGGCCGAGTGAAGCGGGAATAGCATTTTCATTGGCTTTTTTTTTTCCTTTGCAGGAAATTTCCATACGTTATATGCAAAATTCATTTATGAAAACACCCTTCAAAAATTCGTTGGTTGTATCCTTAGTTCACATGAAATTAATCATGCTCTTCATCACTCTCATTCCTGGGCCCACTCAAACGAATTTTGATGACAATGATGGAGGCCTCAATGACTGGTTCCGTCAATGCGGCAACTCTTTACCCCTATTATTTAAAAAAGTGCCAAGTCCCAAAAATAATTATTTTCCTCCTTCACTGCCTCAATTAGAGATAACTTCAAGTTAACCATTAGAAAATCGATAATCAGGAATGAAAATGCGGTTCAAGATATTCGGAAATTCGAGATTAGCGAATTCTACTTTTAAAACGGAGCATTTAACATGGTGTCCTACGGGATGCCACCAGAACAAGCATTGAACTTAGATAAACAAGAAATACATAAGAGGAATTTCGTTTCATCATGGTTGAGTTAGCGAGCTTCCACTGTATTTCAAATAAGTGAAAGTATTTCTTAATACATGTATGACTCACCTAAATAGGGCGAACGAGATGATTTCACTGAAGATCTGTCCGGGGAACTGAAAAAACAAGTCTCCTGAAACGTTGTCATGCTCAGATTATTAGAAAGAGAAAACAAAACGACACAGGAAGAAAGGCAGATAAAGAGCTAGAAAAGGAAAGTGGGAGAACAGGGGACACAAAGGAAAGATACAGAGATTTTTTTTTTCTTTTTTCCTTTTTGGTGATAAGTTGTGAAGAAGCCAAAAAGTAAGGAAGTCAATGCAGTAGCAACGACAGAGACAGAGTGGTTCCTATTAATTATTTTATCTCTTCCTTATTTTATGACTGTTCGATGTGTTCACTTGACGCTCGGTCTAAGGGAACTGGCTGCATTTCGGCCGATTCCTGCTCTTGGTGCCTGGGGGAGGACGAAAGGAGGGAGGGGGAAGGGAAAGAAGGTTGGTGGGGGAGTCGGAGCTTCACTCAAGAGCGTAGTACGCTCTTGAGTGTCACTTCAACCTTTGCAGCTATTGAAAGTTTCTTGACTTCGTCTTATTTCTTGTAGCCATCCATGAATCAGGACTTCTCCCTGTTTTCAGATTTCCCTTTGCAAGCCTACATGTACTGTAATACTTCGCAATAAATTAAGTATACAAACCAACTTGATTCTGAGTCCATGTAAGACAGGGAAAGGCTTGCTTACGGATGGGATGAGCGGGGTTGAGCATTCACCCTAAGGGAAATCACGTAGACATAGAAGGAGAGACGAGCCAGATAAAAAGACGGTGACGGTCTTCCTCTCTCAATTGTGTCATTCACGATTTCTTCAAGAATGGCACTAACGAGAAAGTCTGCAAGGATTTCTCTGCTAAAACCTCTATGCAGTTTCTTTGAATGTATTATATGCTGACCATCGTTTCGAAATTAACGACAAAATTTATTTTCTCTGAACGGACGGAGATCTAATAATTGATCAACCTCACGCGCATGGAATCCAAAATTTCCTTGCCTTTTGGCGTTGATGAGGTTCCGTTTCATGTCCCTTTCCATTCAACGAGTCATTTTGCTCCAGCGTGCATTCCTTCCTTGGATAATGCCATTTTAAACATGCCAAAGAGAAAACTTGCTTCTAATATCTTGTTACGAACAGGCCAGAGAAGAGAGTTAATCCTGAATATTTTCGGTCTTTCCATGCAATGGAGGAAGAGACTGGGTTTACTGTCTTCTCTTTTCCTCCCTCTCCAGTCTGAACAAGAATTGCTTGAGGGGGAAGGCTCACCTCATCTGTAAGGTAAGCTTTCCCTTCTTCATGCATCAGCTTTAGCGTTCCCTACAACACCAGTGACTGGGAAGTGAAGACTGCTCGTTTAAACACCGCCTATATCCCGCAAGATCATACACTTCAAATTATCTAGCGAGATCTACCACCTGACTCCGACCAATCTCCAACCTTTTCATGATTTCGTTCCTCCGCTGAATCAAAATCAGTAACCAACGAATGCTCAATTCTCTACGTTTACGATGCGGATGAAGCGGTTCAATGCAGCGGCGCATGAAAATACGTACGCTTTCTTCATCGATGGACCAGGTAGTACTAGTAAAACATTCCTGTGCAAGCATTTGAACATATTCAGTGTAAAATAAATGAAAGTTCATGAGAGTTGTGTGGCGCGGTGTTGCTGCAATTTTGCGGCCTGGTGGAATGATATACTCACGCATAATACGTGCCATATTTCGCGCAAAATTCAGCCGCTAATTCGAGCTACCGACGTCATCGTTCGGGGCAAAGCGCTGATGAACTGGCACCGATCGAACGGGCGTTGCGAGACTCCAACGACGATCACTGCCTTATTTGGTGGCAAAGTAGCTGTGCCGGATGGTGACTTTCGTCGAGTTTTGCATCTCGTCTGCAAGGCATCTCACGGTCAAATCGTTATGACTTGCATTAATAGGAACCCTTTGTGGTCATAGTTCCAAACGATTCATTTGACGGAAAACGTGTGCTGCAGCACACAGCAGCTGCAGCAAATGAATTTCATTTTTATCGATGGTTGTAGATGTAGGCAACGTCACACCTATATAGGAATGGATGATCAGGGCACTCCGTGCGTTAACGGACGATTGCATCTCTGATAATTTGGCGAATGAGATATATCGTTACGGCAAATTGTCTGCGATGTCGAAGTGAGCAGCAAGCGCGCCATTCTGCGACCTAATAAGTACTCGCCCCTTTGGTCGATGGGGACGTGTTGTCTCGATCGGAAGGAGAAATGCAGATTGATCACAGTATCGACACTGAAGAACAACGATCAAGGTGATTGTGTCGATGGGCAGATCAACTTTTCATCTTCTCCTCAACAATCTCGATCCCCCAGGCCCTGCTCCGCATGGCCCTACACCTGAAGATTAGAATTGTCTTAATGCTTCTACATAGTATTTCTCATAGGAGTGGACATTCCAACGCCGTTACCATGTAGAACATGAACACAAGTGTGTTACAAGCTGAAGTGATGACGGGTGCGCCGAGTGGCAGAGTGACAAGACGCGCGTGTTATGTTGAGGAATACCTTTGGGTCGATTCACGATTCCGCTGTCATGAAACACACCTCAATGAAGAGTTGCTAGATACTAAGACATCAAATATTAAAAAAAAACGTGTACCACCTTCTATCTCTCGAGAGTGTCGCCTCTAATTACACTCACTTTCCTAGCTTTTCCAAGTCATAGGCTAGGCGCATTTCGTGAGAGTCACAGACAATAGGCCTGCAAGCCTTCGCCTCTAAAAGTCATAGGCCGAACGCAACTGTTGGTCTTACGAGCTTTTCGTATTCTGGGACAAAGGTCAGTGGATGTAACTCGGGCATGTCGTATCATCTACTTCCTTAATTCAAGCGAGAAAATGCAGATCTGCCCAGGCCTGTGTGCAACGTGAGGGTGGCAATGTCGAGAAGAGGGCTGAATTGGAGTACGACTGCCTTTGAGGCAATATTAGGTGAGGATATTAACGTTACGTGGAGACTTGCGCGTGTCAGCGTCGAACCCTCGTCTCGTTCTGGAGAAGCCCAACGCCCATCGAGCCGTGCTAAGTAATCTCGGCCATAAAAGTGTGGAATGCTCTTTGGAGTACAGCCAGGCGCTTCATTATTAAGCAGAGAAAGACACTGCTTTTGTTCTAATGATATGGTGTGCTCTACGAACCCGTTGGAATATTCCCCAGAGTTCAAAATGCTCTCAATAGGGGAAGACGTAAACGTATGCTCAATATTCGCGAATTTATCTGGCATCAGAGCAAACACGTGTTCTTCCTACAGTTCAACGACTTTAGATAATACCGGCAACGAGCGATACTGCTTCAAATTATCCGACGTGGTCTATCACCCGGCTAAAATCGTTGCATGTATTTACTCTATTTCCTCCGCTAATTCAAAATCAGGAAGCAGCGAATGATTTTCAAAATTTTCCAACAATTCAAATGCAGTGGTGTATAAAACCTTTTAACAGGAAGAGCATCGCTGTTTCTCCATCAACGGACCAGTTTGCTCATTCTCATATTGCGCGGAATAGAACTGAAATGAACGTTTGATAAATCAGTATAGCAACCATTCCGTTGCCTGGTCGTTTAACGTTACACTCGATTTTCGACTTGCCAATGGATCAGCTCCCAAATAAAACTTGCAGTTCACCGCACACATACAAGGGAGTAACTGCTGCGACGAAACGCCGATGGCACCCGCTGAAACGCTGGCAATGATTGAATGTGTTCGGGATACTTGACGAACGATGACCGTCTAATCGGTGTCAACGTAGTTGTGCTAAGTGGCGACTTTCAACAAGTGTTGCCAATTGTCTGTATTTGTCGTCGCGGTCAAATCAAAGACTTGGATCAAAATGTACTCTATGTGAATGCTAGG